CTGCTGTAAACAGCGCTGCAGTGAACACAGGGCAGCATAAATCTTTACGAATTAGTGTTTTGCTTTTCTTTGGATGAATACCTGGAGGTGCAATTGCTGGATCAAAAGGCAGTTATAGTGTTAATCTTCTGAGGGACCGCCAGACCGTTTTCCCGGCCGCACCCGCGTGCCGTCCCACCGGCAGGGCCCGGGGCTCCCTCTTCTCCACGTCCTCGCCAACACTCGCTGTTCTTCGACTCTGCGAAGTTTAAAAACACGTCCCCGGGTCCTGTCCGTTCCCAGACTCCGTCCACAGAATGTCCGCCTTCTCTGCCACAGCGTGGGCGCCCCCCAGCCCCGAGTTCTGAGGGCACTTTGCTCCTCCCCTTCCAGCTGGACACGCCCAGTGGCCGGGGTCCGGGGACGCGAGGAGGGAGGAGACGCAGGACAGACCTCAGGCTCTTCGGGGAAGACCGCCTCAGTGCGAGCCGGGCTCCGGGGCGGTCCTCCCGCCCCCGCCCGCAAGGCCGAACCCCAACTCCCGCCCGGGGCTGTGCACCCCACTCTGGGGCTGTTGACTTAGTATTGACCTTGCAGCACAGAGTGGGGTAAAGGGGTGTCACGGCCTCTGAGACTTTGTTGAATGTCCAGGTCATTGCACTGAAGGGACCGGCGTGTCCCGCTATTGGGATCTGAACCCAGAGCTCCTGCTTCCAGCACTGAGAGCCACCGTACCCCCTGGTGCCCGCTGGCACGGCTCCCGGCGGTGTGCGCCAGGCAGCGAGGTGGCCGGACGGCCAGTAGCCCGGCCACGACAGTACATCTGCCCCCACCCTTCGTCCTGCCCCCACCACAGCAGCCACCCTCCAACCCCAAGGGCGCAGCCAGGACAATCACGGAGGCACCAGCGCACTGCCAAAGCCCCAGCGGCTCCTGGGGAGACACCCAGCACCCTGGCCCCCTGCTGCGGGCCGCCGGCCAGCACCCTTCCCCCGGGACGCGGGGGCCCCGTGAGACTGCTCAGGACTCCGCGGCCCCGCGGCCTCTTGGGAACGGGGCGTGGAGAGGGGGCCCTCCGACTGCCGTCCTTCGACGTCGCGGCTGGCTGTTCCCCGCTTCCCTTAACTGCACGCACGTCGTCAGAGGGGGAGGCTGCCGCCGCTTCCACCCCGTCTGTTCTTCCTTCTTCCGGTGACGTCTCACCTGTCGGTTCACCACCTGCAACAGCCGTGTGCCCTCGAGTCGTTTCTGACCTGAGAGACGGAGAGGCGGACTCCGGACCCCTGTGTCTTTGCCCACGAGGACCTTCCTTTCGGAGTAAAGTGCCAGAGACGCCCCTCCCCGCTGGCAGCGGCCGTCAGAAGCCAAACCCCAGGAGCGAAGCCCTGTCCCCATGAATGTGAGCGCTGTCTCCATCACTTGCCGAAGCTCAGCCGCATTCGGGCCTTCTGGTCCCCCACGGTGCCGGCCCCTGCAGAAACACAGCCCCGCGGTGTGATGAGCTCCCCAGGCACGGTGACCCCACAGGCCCAGAAGGCCGTGGAAACCACTGCGCCCGCCAGCAGCACCCCGTCCTCAGCAAAGCCCGTCCTCCCGGTCAGGCGTCACCTCTGATTTCTCCATCCGGTGGACGTCATGATCTAAGGGTCAACGAGCAGATTGGGTCCTGGCCGCCTACCTTCCTCCATCACTGACCCAGTGGCCTCCCCTCTGGTTTGGACGTCAAGACCCCCGTGCCAGCCAGCGAGGCCCTCCGAGCTCACCAACTATGTTCAGAAGCTACTAATAAGACAGTTGAGTGACCGGGGCACCCACTCCACCTGCCCTCAGCTTGGCTCCAAGTCCTGCTCAGGACAGCCAAGCCAGGGGACGCCTGCTCAGTCACCTGCTCTGGAGAGCAGTAAGGGCCCCCCGAAACTACAGCTGTGGACACAGGATGAAGAACAAACCCAGCACACACAGGCCCAGGTCTGGCCCATCATCATGCTGACCTGCTCACGACGCCTGGCACGTGCTGGACACGCCTGCAACACCGTGCCCTCCCCCGACACGCACCGTGCCTGGCCGCGAGATGCTGGGGCATGAGCGCAGCCGGCCGCATTGTCTGCAGCCTCTGGACCCAGCGCAGCCACCCTGACCCAGGCTGTGCACAGCATTCCCGGGACGAGCAGAGAGGGCAGGCAGGGACTTCTTCTAAGAGGCTCGAAGAGCTCTGCCAAGGCCAGCTCCTGCCACACGTGGGGGCCCAGTAGTTCACACCAGCCTGCAGCAGCTGAACCAGGTCCTCCACAAGCCAGAGGATGCCTGTAGGCTGGCTGGTCTTCTGCCAGAACAAAGAAGCAGGGCTAGGGCCCGGGGCTGGGGCTGGGGCTGGGGGCTGGGCCTGGGAGCTGGGCTGGG